AGATTCGAACCAGGCAGGAACATAGGCGCAGGTGTTATTGCTCCCGTCCGTGCCAGCGTCCGCGCTGGCGGATACTCTGGCGTCGTCACTGGTGTTGGCGCAGGCGTTGGATTGGCGTCGGTGCTGGGGCAGGGACTGTCGTTGGTGCCAGCGTGGGCGCCGGCTTGGTGCTGGCGCCGGTGCTGGCGTAGACGGTGGTCGCAACGGTCTGGACGCCCATCAGCCCGAGCCGGACGCAACAGGCGCAAGCGTTGTTGCTACCGTCGGTGCCGGCGTCGGCGCTGTCGGAGGCTCCAGCGTCGCCACTGGCGTAGGCGTAGGCGTTGGAGTTGGCGTCGGTGCTGGGGCAAGAGCTGTCGTTGGTGCCAGCGTGGGCGCCGGGGTTAGTGCTGGCGTCGGTGCTGGCGTCGGTGCCGGTGTAGGCGTTGGCCGCAACGGTCTGGACGCCCATCAGCCCAAGCCGGACGTATCAAAGTCGAACCAGACAGGGACGTAGGAGCAGGCGTTGCCACCGTCGGCAGCAGGTCGATTGGGAGTCGAAGCTGGGGTCGGAGTCAGCGCTGCTGTCGGAGCAAGGCTGGATTCTAGCATGCAGCATGTGGATAGAAATTCCAATGGTCCATGTCGCGATCGCGCCTGCCTCGTCACCCGAGCACGCCAGGCACACACCAGAGGATCTATTAAACCTGTGTGTGGCGGCATTCGGCTTTTGGGAGTCCGTGCAAAGAGGCCTCGTCGCAGTTTGTTGCGTGGGTCGGGCGCGGTGGGTCGGCAAGGGGTCGATTGGGAGTCGAAGCTGAGATCGGAACCGGTGCTGTTGCCGGAGCAGAGCTGGAGTCTAGCATGCAGCGTGTGGTTGGGAATTCCGATGGTCCCTGTCGTGTTCGCGCCTGCCTCGTCACTCCGAGCGCGCTGGGCACACACAAGAGGATTTATTAACCCTGTGTGTGGCGGCATTCGGGTTTTGGGAGTCCGTGCAAATAGGCCACGTCGTAGTTTGTTGCGTGGGTCGGGTGCTGTGGGGTTGTTGTGGGGCGGTTGCGTGTGTCTGGTGTGGATCAGCAATGGGTCGACTGCAGTTGGAGGTTGTTGCGGGGGTCGGTTGGTGCGGGACGATCGTGGTTCGAGTTTGTTGCGTGAGTCGGTTGCTGTGGGACTGCTGCGGGTCGGTTGTTGGTGCTAGTAGTGCCGGTGGTATCACGGCACCACGGGTAGTGGATGGGAGGCGCTCGGGATCCAACGTCGGACCAAGATGTGGATGGAGGGACCGGGTCCTCGAACGCGGGGGTCGGGAAGTTGGAGCCGGTTCTGGTGTTTGTGCTGGTGTCGAGGCTGATGCTGGTGCTGGTGCAGGCTGGAAAGCATCTTGGGCGTCTTCGGGGCTGGCCGTCATATTGTGTCGCGTTTTTGCCCCAACTTTCCTCTGGGCTAGGGCGTAAATGCGTGCAGTTGCAAATTGCTCCAGCGTTCAAGGCATGTTGCCCATCCGCAGTCGGATGGTCGATGCGAGAGTCGGTGAGCTGGTCGGCGCGGGAGTCGTCGAATTTATCGATGAGGGAGCTGGCAGGCTGGTCGACGTGGTAGGCCGCGATCTGGTCGGTGCGGGAGTCGGTTGGTCGGTGCGGGAGTCGGTGTGGATAGTTGAAGTCCACAGCCCTCAATTACAGGTCCAGGGAGGTTTCGTGACAATTTCGTGGTACTTTGTCGCGTTTTTCCCCGGCTTTTCTCCATGCTGGGGCGTAAATACGATGAGAGAGCTGGCAGGCTGGTCGACGTGGTAGGCCGCGATCTGATCGGTGCGGGAGTCGGCTGGTCGGTGCGGAAGTCGGTCACCTGGTCGGCGAGGGAGTGGGCGAGTTGCTGGGCGCGGGGGTGGACGAGCTGTCTGCGCGGGAGTCGGCGAGCTGGTCAATGTCATGCGGCTGGCATCCGACGTGCTGCGAGAAGTCGTGGTGCCCTCCGCATTGGCGGCTCCGTGATGTCACGGAATACCCCCTCACGGTCGTGTCGAGGTTGCCGCTGTCGCCGTCGTGCTGCGAGTGGTACTCGTCGTGCAGCTCTTGGGAACGATAGTGAAGCTCATGGTGCCCGTCGTGCTGCGGATGGCATCCGTCGTGCAACTCGCGGTGCCCGTCCTGTCGTAGCTCGCATCGGTCGCAGTGGGTGTGATGTCCGTCGTGTTGCTCGTGACACTCGTCGCGCAACCCGCGGAATCCATTCTGTCAATCGCGTCTGGCAGGCCTGTAGCTGTCCCGGCCGCGTGGCCGATGGATCGTGGGGAGGCGCCAGCGCGCCAGCCCTGGACTCGGCCAGAGTCGAAACTGTGCACGAGTTTTCTCGCCCCTCGAGGGTGGACGCCAGCGTGTCGCCCTATCTGGGGGATGCCAGCCTGTCGGTTTATTCCAGTGCTGCTCGTGGTCTCCGCCGCGCTGCTCGCGGATCCCGTCGTGCTGTACGGGGTACTCGTCGTGCAGCTCATGGAACCCGCAACTGTTCTGGAGCAGGCGCCGGTGTTGGCGCTGGCGGTAGAGCTGCTCATCGTCGTACTTCTCATCGTCGTGCTGTTGGTGGCCGTCGTACTGATCCAAGGCCGCGCTGCTCGTCGTCGTGTTGCTGGTCCCAATAGCTCCCGGCAGTTTGAGCAACCGCCCGAATTTCCGCCCCGGGCGGGCACGGAGCTCTTCGAGTCCAGCTCGTAGAAAATAAATCGCACCACAATGCAAGTCGCAACGAAAATGTCACTGAATTCGCTGCGGTGGTGGTGCTCCCTTCCCTGGTGCTGCCGCATGCTGCTCTACTCGCTAACCGGTGCGCCGCGGTGCTGGTGACGGCACTGGCGTCGATGCTAGCGTAGTCGTCGGCTGTTGTTCCTGGTGTGCGGGCTGCAGTCGGCACTGGTGGAGGCGCCGGTGTTGATGCCGGCGTAGTCGCAGGCGGTCATGCTGTGAGCGTAGGCGCCGGAGTCGGTGCTGGCGTCGGTGCTGGTGGAAGCGCTGGCGTTGGTGCCAGCGCGCTGACGTAAGTGCCATCGTCGGGGCTGGCGCTGGTGCTGGTGGAGGTGCCGGCGTTGGCCCCAGTGGTGGTGCCGGCGTTGGTGCTGGCGCCGGCGCTGGACGTTACGAAAGGGGACAGGTCGGAGTGTCGAGTTGGTGGAGTCGGTGGTGGCTGGAGGTCGGAGTGTGGAGGTTGTGGTGGCTGGAGGTCGGCGGGTGGAGGTGGCAGTGCGAAGCTGGTAGTGGAGGTGGTAATGGAATCACGGCACCTGGGGAAGCGGATGGGAGTCGTGCGCAATCCATCGTCGGGCAAGGGCGCGGGTGGAGGGACTGTGGTCTCGAATGCCTTCACGAACCCATTGCAACATTGCGTCATAAAGCGCGTCTGTTGGTAGGGGCGTCTGGGCGTGTCGTTGGAAGTGAGCTGCTCGGTGCGGGAGTCGGTGGGCTGGTCGGTGCGGGAATCGGTGAAATCGTTGGCGAGAGAGTCGGCGAACTGGTCAGTGCGGGAGTCGGTGACCTGATCGGTGCGGGAGTCGGTGAGCTGGTCGGTGCGGGAGTCGGTGATATGGTCGGCGAGGGAGTCGGCGAGCTGGTCGGCAGAAGAGGTGTGAGATCGGATCTTCGGTCGGGGAGGCCCTGGCAGCGGTCTCGGAGGCCCCGACGTCGGCCCCCGAGGCCTCCTCCCACCTCGCCGTCCACATCCTGCAGCGGGTCCTGCCCAGGAGGGGGCGACACGCCGGCGTCCACCCGGCTGGCGTGCGGTACTGCTCTGATCTCCTCCTCCCCATCCTCCTCCTCCCCCAGAAGTGGCGACATGCCGGCGTCCACCCGGCTGACATCACATGAAACTATTGGTTTTAGCAGTCCCGCCAAACAGATAAAGCATTCCGCCACCGCGCGGTGCAAGTTCGTTGATCCAGCATGCGCCTAGTGCTCGAAACCGTGTCAATTCTAACCATGCGGGCCACACGCGCGCGCCAACAAGCGAGTGTCGAAATCCGTCCAGAACCATTGGTGCTCGAAGTATTTCAACACAGAGCTCTTCATCAACTCGTGAGAAAAAAGGAAACACACACACACAAACAACAGCAACACAACAAACCACGAACACACACACACACACAAACAAGCAAACAGACAAACGAAAAACGCTCCAGCAGACAATGTGCAAGGGCGCTTAGATTTCCACGCGCGCGCACGTCCCCACCATCGCCCTCTCCAGCGCCGCCACATCACGTCATCGTCATCGACAATCGCCGCGACTGCCGCCAAAATGACTCAAGCGTCTACGTCATCGACTCATGGATGTCATCATCAACAGTACAAATAGCCGTCATCACCGACGTCATCAGCCAATCACCTTCATCACTGACACATAAACATCATCATCAACATCACCATCATCATCATCGTCATCGCGGCCACAAGCATCGGCGCCATCATTGGCCTGTCGCCGTCATCGTCATCCTCCCCAGCACCATCGCTACGATCATCATCCTTCCCGCCGTTGCCGACGTCATCATCGTACCGCGCCCGCCCCTGTCACCGCCCCGCACTGAAGTGTCCGCACACCAGCCCTGCCTTCGAGACGCGCTTGGAAGATCCCATCGGTAATCGCCATCGCGGACGCGGTCGGCATGCCAAACCACCTGGCGGCCGCTCTGCGCGCGAGCTTGGGCGCGTTAGCGCAAAGATGCGCCAGCCAGTGCCAAATAGTCACTGCATTTCTCGGCCGCATGGGTTGTACAAAACAAGTTGAGGCTGGGAGGATGGGATGACTGTACGAGCAGTGGAGTTGACGACTCCAAGTTCTGCAAGGTGAACTGCACCAAATAGATTACACCAATCAGCTTGCACCACATAGCTTGCACCCCATGGCTTCAACGCAAATTGCACCACATAGCTTGCTCCACAGGACGTCCACCACACGACGTGCACCACATGGCTTGCACACCGTATCTTCCACCACAAAGATTACACCACACAGCTTACACCGTATACCCTGCACCACATATATTACGCATCCACGAGGCATGCTATTTTGGGTCCACGAGTGCAAACATGTTCAAATGTTCAACCGACGGAATGAGCCTGGCGAGGCAGCAAGTCCTGCACGCACGGAATTATCCGAGAGCGTCGCCTCGGCACAAACTCCCTTCAAATTACAAGAGCACTCGAGTCAGCGAGCAGGACGGGAGAAGGACCCTGTCCCGGGGCCTGCACGGCCAGACGCTCACTGGAATTGCGGCCCACGAGGGGCGCCGATCGCCGGACCCATCCCGCGCCAAGTGGCGGAGGATGGGGGTGCAGGGGGAGGCCCTGAGCTGCCCCTGGGCCAAGTATGCGTACTGCCCGAAGCCCTAAAGACAAAGCCACGGGCGTCCAGTCGAGCCCATATAGGCTAGAGCCATAAGCGAGCGCCGAGCGCGCGTCTCGGCTCCGGAGAACGGTTTGGACTAAGGAGGCCCTGGGCGGAGAGAGGAAGAGGAGTGCATCGCTGCCGTCGTGAGACGAAGACCACTGAGAGACAATCGGGGAAGACGGTGGAAGAAGCATCGCCGCTGCCGCTCACTGGGTTACGCATGAAAGGGAGCCGTACCACTTCAGACTCCCACCTAAGCATACATGCCTATGAATGTTGGAGATATCTGCCTAGGAAGAGGAAGGCCGTTGGAGCTTGCGCGAGAAGGCGAATGCCGTTGACAAAAACAAAATCTGCTGTGATATCTACCCCAGTGACTTTGATGCCCATGGGATTGATTTGCATATACACCAACAAATTCTGAAAAGCTCCGGCCTGCTCAACGTCACGCTTTGTCGACCCGATAAACGCAGTCACTGCACTCATCAAAGACCGTGACCTGAATGATTTGTCGCGGCAGCGGCCTGTCACGCGAGCCGCAGTGTAAATCACCCTGACACATCCAATGCCAAAGCACACGCCCGTGCCCCCGATGATCAGTTGCGTGTTGAGGTCCTCGAATGCCATCCCGAGCGCACCATACATGATACTGGCGAAGCCCAGGGTGCAAGCACGAAAAGCAAACAGCCCACCCACGCATCGTAAAGACCACACTGCCTCGAACAAAGCATCAAGGTGACGGTAACGCTGTGCGAACCCCTTCCAATCTATATCTGCGACGTCATGCGAGCGTGCCTGCAGCGGGCTATCCTCGTCGTCGGCAGCCTCTTCCAGGTAGTCGATTAAGCTGTTGATGGCAATCTCTGCTGCATGGAGCATGGTGTAATCGATCTTAGCCATGCTGAGAAGAAGTTTACCGAACAACCACACTGAGGTGCAACACATTGACATGACCATGAGTCGCGAACCGACATCTATGTTGGGAACCTCCTTGTGCTTCTGGACGTAGTGACGGATTGCCAACATAGGCGCAGCCAGTCCCAGCAGAGAGCACACGGGCATGAGCACCCGAGTCCAGAAAAGGATACCACCAGGAGAAGGTGTTACGAGCCCTCTGCCGCGGCTCGTAGGGTAGTGCGCCTGATACGTCAGCAACGCCTTGACAGGCACAGAGTCGCCGATCTGCGCGGCCCAGAGTGGGACTCCCACGCCCAGTGTGAGGTGAAGTGCGGCAACGAACGCGAGGTAAATCTCGTCGCAAAAGTCGTGTACAAAATGGAAGCTGCCGAGGAAAAGCAGAGTCGCACTGACGTTCAACATCAGCAACAACCAATGTCCCTCACTGCCCACTCTCGCGATAGAACTGAGCCTGCGCCGCGTAGGCGTGATGGTGCCTCGAAACCCCGGCGAAGAGGAGCCAGAGGTGCAGTTGGAGCTCGCCCCTGTGCATATTGGAATGACAACGTCGAGGGTCTTATCTTCACTACTGTCGCTACTGCACGATTCGACCACTTCCGCCTCGCACTCCTTGAACCTCGACTCGGCGTCCAGACACACCTGCATACAGACTGGTGCAGCGTTCGAGAATTAACCAGCCAGTGGCCTGAACGCAAGACCCCTTGAGCTGAATCGGTTACGTACGGAAGGCCCAAAACTGGACCCTGTTGGGCACCAAGGCTTCGAGCAGCGCGCTGTCAGCCTCCTCCAGGTAGCCCTGGCTGGCCTCAACAGCCTCCCGAATACAATCGGACCGAGGACAGAAGAACATCCTTCAAGAGCATGAGACCCCCCGCAGGCCAAAACGAAAACCATTCGAGGGTAGCCCCCCCAAGATGCACAAGAACATCCAACAAGCACGAAGGACATTGAGGCACCCTCCCCGAACCGACTTCGATCTGATTCTTCGGTCCGACTGTAATCTGGGCTGGTCTCAAGATCTCAACTCTGGGGCGCGGAACGCCCCAGGGGAGCCGCCAGAGGCGGCGCCAGGGTGGCGAGACCGCCCCAGACTAATCGGGGGGCCTGTTGAAGCGACCCAGGACTACCTGGGGGCGGTGTCTGTGCGCAGCCCGCGACCTTTACCATTGATGGGAGCAGCTCGGGCTGGCCCCAGTTTTCGATGTTTCGCGAGCACTCTTTCGAGTCGGATCGCATGCGACTCGTTTCCGGACGGGCTGGTGTAGAAATGCAAAGCTGCCGGGCAACGACCGGGGAGTGGTTGAGGGGAGAAACTTCAACCTGGAGCCGGCGATACATCGCCGACAAATCGACGATAGGCCCCCGATAGCAGATCCGCACGCTCTCAGGCGAGATGGGTTATCGGGCCCTTTTAGGCAATGAGTGGGTGACTGGGGGTCGACGCATTCCCCCCTGATGTTGGGGAACCGCACACTGTCAAAATTTCCGAACGTTGCAATCAATTGGAAAACCAAAGGGACACGACCCACACACGCGGTTTAGACTGTCCAGTGCGCAGCAAGTTCATGAACAGACGACCCATGCAACGAGTTGACAGGACAGGGCGGCGCTACGAATCTGCACGGCGCTCGATCCAACATGAGGCCGAACAGCTCAGGCCAGCTCGGTACACGGTACCACCCCGGCTGTCAGGAGGGCGTTTTTTTTCGACCCAAGGGACTCGATCGGCTTCCGATTGCCAATTCGTACCCACATCTCTCCCAATCATCATCACCACCGCAATCATCATGATCATCGTCATCTGCATCATCATCACCGCCATCGTCATCGTCACCATCATAAACATCACCTCCTCTTCCTCCAATTACCGTCATCAACCATCATTGTCGCCATCACCACTTTCCAGGATCGCCAGACGAGCGTCGACCTTCGGCGAAAGATGAGACGAAGGCAGATGGCAAGGACCTGAGCCTTTTGTGATGCATCCGCAATCAATACTGCTGCAGCCACGCCAGCGTCGCACTGGGACTAATCGGCGAGGCCACCGCCCACAAGATCGGCCTGAGAGGCTTCTGCCAGCGCCTTTCCTGAGTAAATTGCGCGGAAGTCTCAGGCGGGAGCGGGGGTCCTGAGTAAAAATCGAGGAAGTCTCAGGCGGGAGCCGTTGTTGTTGTAGCCAGGGGGGCAGGGGCATAGTTTGAGCAGGAAGACTTTCCTTGAGAAAAAACAAGGTGCGAGCCCCGGGGGTGGCACTTCAATCGAAAAAAATCAATGTGCACCGGTGGGGGGGATCAACAATAATTATTCTTCAAGAATGAGAGTTCAACAACACCAACACCAACAACAACAATACCATTAACAACAACAAACATTGCACTGTTCGCCCTTACCTGCTCGCGTGCCAATCAACACGTATGTCCCAAACCCTCGGTACCCACCCTCTTCGCCTTCGATCGTACCCCCGTGGGGGCATATCTTCCTTACCTGCCACGTGTAATTGGTGCAGCCCCTAAAACAGGGGAAGAGCGGACGGAGCGCAGGGGGAGGGAGAAGGACGGAGCACGAGAGACATTAGCAGGAGGGGGGCTAGGAGCAGGAAACACATGGTAGAACCAGACGGGCTGATCGGGCGGGTAGACCCTAGCAGGCAGGTCGGGAAGGCTGGCCCAGGTGGCCAGGTTGAGCAGGCGGGTTGCTGAAGCGTGAGTCCTGCATGAATCGCGATGAAGTCTCGAGCGATACTAAGCAAATCGCAAGAAAGGCCAAAGCGAGAGCGTGATTCCTGAATGTCGAGGGCGCGGCGTCTGAATAAATTGCCAGGAAGTCCCACGCGAGATCGCACTTCCTGCACAATTTGTGATGGCGTCCCGCGCGAGAGCGCGATTTGGGAATAACTTGAGGAAATATCAGGCGGCAGCCGTTCTTGCTGTAGCCGGGAAGCCGGGGGCGCAGTTTGAGGAGGAAGATGTTCCTGATACAAAAAAGTGCGAGCCCCGAGAGGGGAATTTCAATTGAAAAATACATATGTTACCAGAGGGGGATCAACAATAGTTACTGTAGGATTGAGAAATCAACAACGACAACAACAACAACAACAACAACAACAACAACAACAACAACAACAACAACAACAACACCACCACCACCAACAACAACAACAACAACAACAACAACCATCATCTTAAGACTGTTCGCTCTTACTGGCACGCGTGTCTTGCACTCTGTATATCCGAACCCTCGATACCCGCCCACTTCGTCTTCGATTGCACCCCCCTTTCGGGGGGGAATATCTTCCTTGTCGGCCGCTGACTGAAGCGCGAGGAACTCTCAAGCGAGAGCGCCGTTCCTGACTTCGGGGGCCTCTGTGGCCAGGAGCTCTCGGAATACATATGGAGAAATATTGAACGGTAACCCTTGTCGCCGTGTCTGGGCCTCCACCCACATGCCTGGATTACGAGAAAGTCTCGAGCGAGAGCGCCGCTCTTGAGTTCGGGGGCCTCTGGCAAGGGCCTTTGCGAATACATCTTGGGGAAGTATCGAACGAGAGCCCTTTTCGTAGTTGAGCCTCCACCAATTTGACTGAATCACGAGAAAGGCTCGAGCGAGAGCGCCGTTCCTGAGTTCGGGAGCCTTCCTGGCCAAGGGCTCTCAGGTCAGATCGTGAGGAAGTATCGAGCAGGAGCCCTTGTCGTGGCTGGGCCTCCGCCAACTTGACTGAATGTCGAGGAAGGCTCTAGCGAGAGTGCCGTTCCTGAGTTCGGGGGCCTGTCTGGCCAGGGTGTCTCAAGGTAAATTGTGAAGAACAATGAGCGGGAGCCGTTGTCGTTGTAGCGGGGCCTCCAATGACACACATTTACATTCAAGCCAACGTTCGCGCGGGAGCCTCGCTTTCAAAGAAAACGTAGCCCGCGTCGAGCGAGAGCGCGCGGAACCGTTTCCGGGGGTCATCAATAATTGATATTTAAAAACGAATAGTCAACGACAACGACAACGACATTCAGAATGTTTAGACTGTTCGCTGTGACCTGCTCGCGTGCCACTCATTACGTATATCCCAAACCCTCGATGCCTGGCCTTTTCGTCTTCGATCGTACCCGCTTGGGGTACCTCTTTCTTAACTGCAACGTGTATTTCGTGCAGCACCTAGAGCAAGAAAAAAGAGGACGGACGGATGGAAGGGACAACGGGGAAGGAGGAGGATGGAGCACGAGAGAAATTAGGAGGGGGGCTAGGAGCAGGAAACACATGGCTGAACCAGGCGGGCAGATCGGGCGGGTGGACCCTAACTGGCGGGTCGGGAGGGCGGGCCCAGGCGGCAAGGTCGAGCGGGCGGGTTGCTAAAGCGTGCGTCCTGCATGATTCGCGGGGAAATCTCGAGCGATGGCGCGATTTTCTAATTCACCGCGAGTGAATCCACAGCGAGAGTGCGATTCCTGAGTGTCGAAAGCGCGGCGTCTGAATAATGCGAGGAGGTCCCATGCTGGAACGCGGTTCCTGTATGACGTGCGAGGAGATCCCGCGCGAAAGAACGATTGGATAATACATAAATTGTAAGGAAATATCAGGCGGGAACCGCTGCTGCTGTAACCCAGGGCCCAACGACGCAGTTTGGTGACCCCGAACGTTCCCCTGTAAAAAACCGGGTGCAAACCCCGGGAACACCACTTGACTTGAAAAATCGAACGTGGGGGATCAACAATAACTCTTATGTTCATTCCCAACCCTGTTTTGGTTGGGTTTTCGTTTTGAAAAACCACTGCGGTCGCACGCCTTCCCGCCCTTTTGTCCCCTGATCTCCTGCCTCTCACCTCGTTCCCCCTTACGTGCCAGCTTGCCTCCTACCTGGCCATCCCTGGGGGCTGCAATTTGCAAACCGTCGCCACGTTCGAGGGCTGCTGGGGGGTCCAGCGGAATGACGTCCCACGCAGACTCAACTTAGACCTCACCATCCCTGTGGCGATGCGATCTGCGAAACGGCCGCCACTCTCGAAGGCTGCTGGGGGCCCAGCGGAATGACGTCCCACGCAAAGCCAGATTGGACCTCGCCATCCCTGGGGGGGGGGATATGCAAAATTGTCGCCACGTTTGAAGGCTGCGCGGGGGCCCAGCGGAGTGACGCCCCACGCAGACTCAGATTAGACATCGCCGTCCTTGTGAGGTTGCGATTTGCGAAACTGTCGCCACGTTCGGCTGGTGGGGGGTCCAGCGGAATGACGTTACAAACTCAGATTGGACCTCGCCATCCGTGTGGGGCTGCGATCTGCGCAACGGTCGCTACGTTCGAAGGTTGCTGGGGGTCCAACGGGACGACGTCCTACCCAAACTCACTCATATTCGACCTCGCCATCCCTGTGGGCCTGCGATCCGCGAATCTGTTTTTCGAAGGCCGCAGGGGGGGCCCAGCGGAGTGACGTTACAAGCAGACTCAGGTTAGACCTCGCCATTCCTGGGGGGGGGGCTGCCATATGCGAAGCTGTCGCCACGTTCGAAGGGTGCTGGGGGGTCCAGCGGATTGACGCCCCACGCAGACTCAGACTAGACCGGCCCATCCCTGTGGCGCTGCGATTTGCGAAACGGTCGCCACTTTCGAAGGCTGCTGGGGGTCCATCGGGGCGCCGCCCTACCCAGACTCAGATTAGACCTCGCAATCCCTGGGGGGGTTGAGATATGCGAAACTGCCGCCAGTTTCGACGGTTGCTGGGGGGGTGGTCCAGCGGAGTGACGCCCCACGCAGACCCATATTAGACCTCGCCATCTCTGTAGGGCTTCGATATGCGAACCTGTCGCCACGTTCGAGGGCTGCGGGGGGCTTCTGCGGAGTGACGTCCTACGCAAACTCAAATTAGACCTCGCCACCCCTGTGGGC